ATGGCAAGGATGGGCCACTGTCTCATCTTCGTGCTGACTTTTGCTTGCGGTAAGTAAGGGCTGGTGCGTGGCTCAGCTGGGGTAGCACTGGGGGTCGAAGCCAAAAAGCCTCTATGGCTAAAATCCTCTCTGCTACGTGCCAAATGAGGCAACTGCATGCTTCTCCCATTCATCGCTATTGGCACTGTAGAGTCATTTGCTGGATGCCCATCACTGTGGTCTTTGAATGATTTACCAGGCTTGATTTATGACACTAAGGGCCTTGAAAAGAGAGAAGCCCCCTTGACTTTGGTGTATGTAATACAGAGGGAAACCCAGGGAGATGGGTATTTGGTGATTAGATAATGTTTGCTGCATGGATGTGGTTTTATGATATACTTGGTGGTAACTGGGTTCTCTTTTCTGTGTCCAATTCATTATTATACAAGAGACTGAGAATATATATTTTAATTACATTGGCATGAAAACTCAGGTGTACTCAGGAGTACTGGATGTATTGATTGTATTGATTATTGCACCTCAGTATAGATAGACTGGATTGCACAGATAGAAATAGTTACAGGGTTATAAAATGACAGATAAATTCTTTGGGGCACAGAGCATCATATGGATTATACAGGTCTGCACACAGGTAGGACTCTAAACTCATGCAGAGTATGATGTCTGAATGTCTCCAAGAATGGACACAAAATAGGTTTACTCTGGAGTAATTTGACTTTGTTCCTGATAAAGTAAAATGGACACGACACACAGCAATGAGCCAAAGTAAGTCATTCCATTCTGGGCTAGAGCTACTCCTTGGAAAGTAAGGAGTAACTCTGTACACCAGGGTAAAATCACACCAGTGTGCCATCCATGTGTGCACTCCTCTCTAGCCCATATCACCATGGCACAGACATTTTCTCAATGCAAATTTGGTTCAACACTGGAAATACACATACTACAGACAACTACCCTGGAAGTGCTGGTGATGTGTGCACTCCTTTACAGGATAGATATACTGTGGTATACAATCTGGGTTAAATGACACAGTAGTAATCACACTGTAGTGTGTATCCATGCCCTCCAGTCCTCTCATTGCCCTTCTCTGTGCCTTGCCACGACACTGCGCTTACCTCTTCTCCCTGCTGGTATTTTAGGTGTCACACTCGTGAGCAGCATCGCCACCCAGTTTGACGAGCTGATTCGGCTGACCACCTTCACTCACAGTCTGGCCAACTTCAGCAACTACGGATGCCACTGTGGGCCAGGGACACAAGGGGTGCCCGTGGACCCAATCGACAAGTAAGCGGGGATGATGAATCTCGTCTGGTGCCTCATTCCCTCCAAGTCAAGGCTGGGGGTTGGGTTGGTGACTCATGACGGTAAAAGGCCAGAAGGACCCAAGGGAAAATATTGGGGATAGGCTGAAAGGAAGAGATGGGATAGTTTGCTTTGCTTCTCATAAATAAATGACTCCAGCCACAAGTGTGGGAAAGAGGGCTGGCAGGCACAGAATAGATTGTGAACATCAAGGAAAACCAGATATGCATTGGCATTAGCAAATTCAACAGCATCTAACTTGGAGCCTAGGCTCTCCTCAAGTTGGAACTGGATTCTCAACCCTGACCCTTGTTGGACCCCCCAGTTATTCTACCCCTTTCTTTGCAAAACTTAGGTGCTGCCATGGCCATGACTGCTGCTATAACAAGGCCCAGATGTTTGGCTGCACTCCAGACACTCACCGCTACCGGTTCTATGCAAACGGGGACAAGATCAAATGCGGTGAGTGAGGCGCGGGTCTTCTGGCCCAGGACAGGGCGGAGGTCACAGGGGGTTGATGCGGTGCACGGTGTCGAGGCCTCAGCTCAGTGCTTGGAGGTGCAGGCTTGCCACCCCCCAGGCATGTAGCTTGCCCCAGGCCTGTGGGCTGACCATAAGAAGGCACTCAAGCAAAGTGGTACAGCACAGTTGTACTTTAGGGGAGAAGGAGTCTGATCCTACCGGCATCTGAGACGAGGCCCTATTTATCTCTGCTCTGCATTGGTGTCCTGGTGCAGGGCAGGGTGGCAAAAGAAGAGGTGGTATGTGAGGCTGGAAGGAGGCAGATGAGGGCATTATGTCCTGGCTGTTCAGCACTTCCCTTGGGGCTGCCATATAGGGTAAAGCAACATACCTCCCCCCGCCAAGAAAATTGGGTTTTTTTGCATTGAGCCAAAGGTTAGGGCATAAGAGTGTAAGAATTGCCATTTACTGGGTCAGACCCTAGGTCCATCTTGCCTGGTCTCCTATGTCACACAGTGGCAGCAGGTGGATGCTGAAGGGTAGAGTGAACTGCGCGTGACCAGGGTTTTTTCCACTGTTCCTGTCTCATTTGCAGCCTCCACCACTCCTGGTGCAGGTGCAATTGCCATATTGCTCTTTTGGGAAGGGTAGATAAAGATATGGTCTTCCTGAGTCTCATTGAGCACAGATAGACACCTCTCTCCTAGTCGGAGTCGTGCCACAGCCACATCTCCAGTGTGCTGGGCTCTGCTTCCGCCAACCTCGCAGGGCATACAGGTGACACGACAGCTCTGTTGGTCTTGTCCCACAGTGAAATCACGGGACCAGTGCGAGAAGATGGTATGTGAATGTGACCAGAAGGCGGCCAGCTGCTTCCGCAAGCAACTCTTCTCCTACAACCCGATGTTTCAGAACCACCCCACTATGAGGTGCAGGGGACCCCGACCTTTCTGCTAGGGACATCCCCCCTCTGACTAGCAAAGGGATGATCAGAAAAGGGGCCTCCCTATGTATCTCAGTGCTCTGTGTCTCCCTGGTGCTCCTGCAGTTCCTTATAATCCATGAAAACTGTAAATGGGTGTCTGGTTAGTGAGACACTCATAGGAAATGCAGAGCTTAACCTTTCCATTAGGAGAAACCACATGTCAGGCCTGCCTAATAAACTGCTCTGTTACTAATATTGTTCTGTGGTTACTTCCTTTCTGCTGAAATGGTGCTTTTGTGTTTGGCATTACCCTGAAAAGGGAGTTGTTCCTAAGTCTGCCAGGCTGGGCTCCCCCAGCCCAAGTGTCATTTGCTCTTTGGCTGCTGAAAGCTATAAACATGGCAAAATAATACTGCTCACTACAAGGTTTTAAGACTACAAAGCACACAGAGACATGCAAGAGATACCCCACGCGTCCTGTCCCACGGACAGAACAGCTTCTAGCTAATATGGGATATTCAGTTACCCAGCAAAATGGCAGGGGAGGGGACAGCGGTGTGGTGGGGAAAGGGGTCTCTAGGAGCCAAGAGATGTGGTGGCCCGGTTTGGGGGGTTTCATAGATCCATAGCTGTTTGGGGCTGGAAGGGACCTTACAGATCATCAGGTCCAGCCTTCCCTGCACTTGGGCAGGAAAGACCGCTGGGACCAGATGACCCAAGCTGCCCAATTCTTAGACCTGCCCATCCCAGTCCAGCGGTATCTCCCATCCAGCTTTGACCAGTGCTGGAGAGGACCACACAGCTCCCTGAAGCACACTCCCCAGTTCCAGTGCTTTGAAGTTTCTCTTTTTTGCTTCCCTTAATAATGAGTCACAGGGCTTGCCGTCTGAATGCCTCTTTATGGTTAGCTGTGTGCACTCCAACCCTCTCAGAGGGTCTTCCTTCTGCCTAGAGCATGCACAACTTGTTTCTACTGCTGAACAGGATTCCAGGAACTGATATGGTCCTGGCCCCGCTCCGTCATTGGCAAAACTCCTCTGGACTTCCGTGGAGCTAGCCTTTGACTTCAGCTGATAAAAAGGTACCCGAAAATAGATGGGAGCTGAGCATTTCCTTAGAGGGGAATTCATTTGGCTCTCCTCTCCCCCAGCCATAAAATCATGGCTCATAAATCTCACTTGATAACCCTTCTCAGATTGAAACACTCAGTGGGTTTGATAAAGGTCTACGGTTAGAAAGAATGAGGGTAGGCGCATGGTTTCCAAAGAAAAAGACCTACCTCAAGCCTTTATTTGCAGTTCATACGCCAGACTCTTTCATTCCCACCTTATTTAAAAAATACATTTCTTCTGCCATATGATATATTACATTTCAGCATGTAAACATGGTTTATATACATCGTGCAGACATTATGCTTTTATACGTCATGGTGCCTATACCGGTATAGTCCACACATAACTGTTCATAAGTATGAAATAATATTACAGGTAAAGAAATAGTAAAGAAAGCCCTGCCTTACAGAAAGAGTACAGCTCTCCTAACATGGAGGTGCACATCAAGGAGGGGATATAAAACTTTTTAAGGAAGGCAAGACCTTTTTAAGGAAGGCAAGGCAAGGTCTTGTGAACCCAGCATTCATTCCTGCCTGTGGCTAGATAATCTGTTCTGACCCTAGCTACTATGAAACTATGAAGGCCCAGATTGAGTTTTCAGATGAGGATGATATTAATAGTTCAACCGCACTTTCCAATGGAGGTATTGCAACAGAAATGGCAAACTAAAAAGTGAGGTGACATGTCCAGGTCACACAGCAGCCTGGAGGTAGAGTCCAGAAGAGATCTCATGGCCACTGAGTCCTCCTCACACGCTCCAGCCATTTAACCACACTACCATGTAGGCATAGAAAGCCGTGTTGGGGTGGAATTCGGTTTCCTATTTGGCCTGATTGATCATTTCTCTAATACCATAAAAATGAAGGCATGCACCTTCACCACAGCCAGCTTAACCCTACGACCCAGCATCCTCTGCCACTTGAGCTTGCAAACTGCCTTGCTACTAACTTCATTTGGGGCGGTGGAGGGGAATAACAATCTAAGTCTCTCCCAAATGGGTTTCATAGAGATTCACATGGATAATTCCCAAGGGGGAAGTGTTGAGAGGATACATTCACTCCTTCTTCAGGCAAGAAAATCTTCCCACACTGTAGGCAAGGGGGGAGTGCTAAGAACCCCTTTGTGTAGAAATGCAATACATGAGCAATACAGATAAGAAATGTTTGATCTCCAAAACAGGCACAACCATCAACTGCTATTGTTTGGCAACTGCTTTATCCTTCCTTCTGGAGTCTGCTGGCAGGAGTGCCAATATCCCGTGGTCGCTCAATGACTGGAGCACTGCATTGACTCGAGACTGAAACTATTTGAATATGAACAAAAATCAGTTATCCGCCTGGCAGGAATATCATTCCTGGAATGAGTCCATTAGTGGAGGGGAAGACTATTTATCTTCCTCTGGGGCTTGCCATGGGCTGATATAAAATATGACCAACTTTCTTGCTGCTCAGCATGGATCTTTTCACTGGTGCCAAAGACTATTTGCAGCCATTTATTGTTCTCCTGCCCGCCTCCTTCACCAGCAGGGATATCCCAAAGCTACCGCAGAAGTTGGCAGTGAAGGGATTAATGCATTCTGAAGAAACAGGGCTTTTGAGTCCCCTGGGCTAATAAGACTCTCCTGGGGCCCACTGTATTTTTAGTTGCAGATGGGGGAACCTTTCTCTTAATAAATGAACAAGAGAAAAGCCAAATCTTGTTGCATGAAGTGGGTGCTTGGTTTGAAGAGGCCTGGAGGACTGAGTTCAGAGGGAAAGAATTGCAAAAAAAACAATTAAAAAAAAAAGGGGATTACTTTCTCCTGGTTAACTCAGCTCTTTACAGGGCTATCCTGGCTGTTGATTAGTGTCGGTCAAGCTCTTTGGTCTGGAGTGTGGATACAAGAGCCAGCACCAGAATAAAAACGCTGCCTGCTCTGTAAGTGCGTGTTGGGTCAGGGAGGCAGGTTTCCAGAGCTTCCTTCAGCAGCTGAGCCCGAGCGACCTGGCCCACCTCGCCAGCCAGCTCCCCGCGGTGCACACTTGCAGAGCTTTGGTAGCTCGAAGCCGACTCTCCAGCAGAAGGACCCTCAAGAGGAGGGGAGGCGCTATCTGCAGGAGTGGCTGAAGTGTAAGCTCCGCCGGTTGAGTTTTTCGGGATTGTTGGATGCCATGTGCGAAAACTCCCGGAAGATGTCAAGGTACGTTGCATCTCCTGCAGAAATACACAGGAGACAAGTTAGGCCCAAGGCTTATCCCTTCTCTTCGTCCGATTCCTTCCATGCCTGGAACATGATGGGCTCAGTGTCTCTGACAACCAGGCCTGCGACACCTGGGCTGGAGGGATATGGGAAGGATTGGGCCAGAATGATCTCTCAATGTTTCAAGACAAAGTCCACGAGAGAAAAAAATAGAGCCCAGGAGTCCTGGCTCTTAGTCCTGCAGGAATAGTCCCAAGATTGTGTTTTGTAATGGTTTATTTCTAAAGCTGGCTAGGCCCACGTTTTATCGGGGGACTCTTGCTTCTCAAATAATTTTGGAAACATTCCCCTTCCTAATGCCTTGCCCTCTCTTTAAGTGCTTAGACCCTGGAGCCAGTCTGGGTATTCAGGGCAAGTGAAAGGAGCCAGATGGGCCACCTTGTGCCTTGACATCCCATACTACTCCCCGGCACGTCACAGAGGAGCATAAATTTCCCACTACTGGCTCTGCCATTGCATGTCTCTGTGATGTACAGGGATCAGCAATATGGTAGTAAATGATTCACTGTCCTTGACCTCTCTTGTGGTTGCTGGACTGGATGGAGGTTGTTGGGACAGAGGGCACTTCAGTCCATATACACCATAGCTATCAAATGGTAGCACCAAGGCAGGACCACAGTCACATTTACAACTCCAGAGGTGAAATATGGGTATTCCCTCAGCAACCCTCAAAGCCCCCCATGGTGCACAGATTCTGCATTACCATCCCAGAAGAATCATTAGGCGCCCGCATCCCGTTAGCAATCCCAGCGCTTGCATGTCCTTTGCTCTGTCTGGTGGGACAATTTTGGCCTAGACAAAGCCACTATGTTCCATGCATGGCGTATCAATGTCCCAAGAAGAAATGATAGGGTCTCCCCTGGTCCCATCCTCATAAGGTACTTCCCGTGGACCCAGTGAGCTCACAGCAGTGTCACTGAGACAGGGAGCTGTGCCATCTTGCTATGGCTTGTCACAGGGGATGTTCCCCCTTCTGGCCATCTCCTACCTCGACAATGGCAGAGTTTGTTTAATTGTGTTGGTTTAGGTAAGACTTGGCCCTGGCTTCCAGCCACTCAGTGGCATTGGGAAGTCAGGCCAACCTGCACCCACTCAAGCCACAGGATCTAGAGACATAAATCCCATGCAGCACGGGCTGGTGAGCTGCACCGGCTGCCATGTCCCTTCTGGAGGTACAGCATGCTCTCCTCTTTCTGCCAGGCCAGCTCCACCAGCTAGTGGTTGAATCAGGAGCCAACCTACCCCTGCCTTTCCGAGAGTGGCTAAACCCTTAGAGGGGGACAGACCAAGACAGTGGTCAGTCACAGTATGAAGTGGCGTTGGAGGGGAATTAAAAGGATTGGGCAAAAGTTTCTTGTCTCCTTGCTCCATTGTGCACCCATGTAGCATATAGAGACAACCTAGTGGCTTGGTTCATATTTAAGTTTCCAGCAGCCAGTGATGCTGGTCAGGAGTGACACTATCGACCACTAGCTCATCATCACATCCTCAGGCCTCGATGGGGGTCTGTCTTTCTCTGTAGTGGGGGAGGGCTCCTGGGATTTCGAATACAAACTGATTGATAGAGCAGCCATGCTTTCCAGAGCTGCTTGGAGGTGAGGGCTTGAGCATATGACAACAGGGAGGGAAAGTGGCACTTAGGTTGCTCATTGCTTCAGAAATTCCCTGGTTTGCATTATGTGTTTACCGAGACCGAGAGCTCTTCGGGGCAGAGGCTGCCTCCTCGCTCCTTGTAAAGCACCCAGCACAAAAGGATCGTCCTCCATAACTGGGATCATCGGAAAGTAGGGTCACAAAGTCATGCAGTCCATCCCCTAAACACAGTCAGCAATACCAATAAGGAACTATAGCCATAATGCGGGCTTCATTTTCAGCCAGATTTGAACTGTTTTGCACTGCCACTGCTTAACAGGTACTATGAACATATTTTTTTTCATGCCTGGTACTGAACAGACCATGCTGCCTTCAGCATAACAGACCATATAATAAATAGCAAGTACAACAGTTTAAGGGCCTGGGGTAGCTTGACATAGCTCCTCTGAAATCACTTCTGATTGTGCTGCATTCTCATTTACCATGAAGTCTCCAAAGTCACTGCCCAGACCCAGCTACAGTTTCTGTCTTGTTTGCATCCCCTTAAAAAACAGAGTGAGCACTGACCTTGGATAAAGTGGCTGCCACCAATAATCTTTTTAATTTCTTCCATCCCACTCAGCAAAAGTGCCTGCCCTGGAAGGAAGGAAGGAAGGAAAGAAGGCATTTCCTCCTCCTCACTTATAGGCAACATAATCTTCTATTTTCTTCATAGGAAAATCACTAACTCTTTAAGTGGCTGGGGTCACTTTTCTTAGAAAGGAGAAGCTAATGCACTGACTGTGTGGGGTAATAACAAGGGAAGCATTGTATCAGCTGAGTCCTTGGAGCCAGAATGGACCAAAAAAACCCAGCTTCAGGAGAACAGTCAATCTGCAAACTGTTCAGCAGCTGATCAGAAGGCTCTGCTGCAGAGATCCTGTGATGATGGGATAGAGAGTGACAAGGGGATAAGAGAGACATTGGAACAGCTGTTGCATTTCAGGAGCAATAACTGAGAGCATGGGAGAATATCACTCCTTGGCAGGAATGTCTGCAGATACCTAAAAATCCTATTCCCAGTCTGCTCTGCCTTCATGTTATTTCTTTGGTGGAGAAAAGATCAGCATCACAGCAAAACACACAGAGCTCCTGGACAAATATATTCAAGCAAGAAACTGTTGCAATCAGCTATTTTCCCAGTTGCATCTACTAAGTATTGCCTGACTATCACTAATGGGCTGGAAGGCAGCCAGATTGGATCAGGGCAGAATTCCCTTCACACCCAGGCACTCTCAAGTGGTGCAGGTGCTGGCCTTTACTACCTCTCCAGCCCCCACTTAGCTGTGATACAAGGGTGGTGGAGGGGTCAAGGAGGGAATGTGGCTGAGTTCTCCGGCAACGCACAGGTGATTTATAGTCCTACGAGACTGTAGTCAGCTGATACAATTTAGAGCAGTTCCCAGGCTATTCTTAGCCATGCCAGGGCTCTGGATGGTCCAGATCCTTCCTCTGAGCTTCAGGAAGCCGGCACTAACATCCCAACAGGCCCTTTTTTTGCAAGTACCAAGCAGAGTCCAAAACAATCCAAGCAAAAAAAAGACCTCTGAGCTAGTATTTATTCACCCTGGCAAGTCCTGAGTTAGCTGCAGAGAATGACTTTCACCCACTAACTTTCTATTCTGAGTTCCCCGAAGTCCAGATTCTCCTTGCACCTTGTGTCCTATCACTGATACTTGTGCAGAGGTGTGCAAGACTACTGCCAAATCAGAATGACAGCCTTGAGCAGGTATTTGGCACAGGTGTGAACAACCTTGTGATGTGCGAGGCAGGAGGAATCAGGCCCCTTGTGCTCCTCCCTGGTAGCAGATGGTGTTTCTCTGCACGGGCCCTGGGGCAAACCAAGGAGCGGTGACTTCCAATTTCAGCACATCCTGGTAGGTGTCTTGGAAAGAACATTTTGTCATCGCTAGCACAGGAGTTGCCACATCAGACCAGACCAGCGACCCATCTGGTCTGGTAGCCTGTCACCAACAAAACCCAGTGATAGATGCTTCTGAGGAAAACACTTCACTCCTCTAAAGCACCTAATTCTGCCAGTTTTTATCTCAGAGGGGGACATTTCTTCCTGCCCCCTGCACATGAACCAAGAAGCGGTGATTTCCAACAGCTTGGTTCATGTCAGGAATCCAGGACATCCTGTCACTAAGAACCAAGGAGGAGGGTCCTGGAAAAGACCCCCAGTAGCCTATCTGATGCATGATGCTTTCTCCCACAGCTAGTGATGCAATCCAGGAAAAGCATGGACCGAGTATGGTTTGGGGTGAAATTGCACCTTGGTCGCAATCACCTTAAAACCAGGAGCTCAGTTCTCCATAGGTATTTCCCAGTGAAATCAAAGGAAACATTCCCATTGACTGCATTGCTAATTGAATCATGCCCACACATCCATATCTATGTATCTATCTATCTATTCTTATTCATCTAGACAACTCATGCTTTTGCAAACTGCAAAATTATCCAGGTCAATAATATTCCACAGGGTCCAATCAATTCCACAGGTTAACTATACCTTCCCTAGGTACCCAGATGCTCCCATTTTTTGTCATAATGTCTTTATAATTATCTGAGCATCTCTCAGTCTTTAACACACTTATCCTGAAAACACCCCTATCACATAGGGAAGTCTAGTATCCCCACTCTATAAATGGGGAGCTGAAACCCAGCGGAGTGAGTGATTTATTCACCATGACACAATGCAGACCTTGAAGGCAGATCTCCAAAGTCCTATGCTAGTGCCCTGACCACTGGACCATCCTTCACCTGCATCCGAAGCACTTCAGCTGTGTTGGCAGGGGATCAAGCCATTCAGGGATCGTGGTGGATTTGATAAGCCTAAAGATCTTTCCAATATCCAACTGCAGGATCCTTCTGCATAAATCCACTCATCCAGCCTGACTGATATGAGCACAGTTTTTAGAGATCTATTTGCCCTTCTGGGGAAAGTGAAGATATAACTGCAACGTAGCTCCAGCTGCTCTAAGAGTGATCCTTCCTTCTTTTTTCGTAGGTTCATTGGGATCGGACATGGCCGCACTACGAGCGCTTCTGTTATTGCCTCAAACCTGCATCCTCTGGGCTGTCGACCGTGCACCGTAGTGCCCGCATCACCCCAGCCCCCTCTAAGAGTGATGAAACACAGGAGGTAAGGATGAGTTTTACCAAAGGCACCTGCAATTACATTATCTGATGGAAAACAGAAGGCAACAGCACAATGGCTCAGGGCACCAGCCTGGGGGTAGGAAAGAAGGGTTCATCTGTGTTGTCCTTTTACAGGGGCTGATCCTCTGCTGGATAAGTTCAGTAAGTACTTTGAAAAGAC